TCAGGCAAATGAAAATATGACTCGGAGTGAAGATCCTCATAGTATCACTCCACTCCATTTCAAATTTGATCGTTTTAGTGCAAGAGAGTTCAAGATTATCAGCATTTATAAAAGTTCATGTTTGATAAAAAAAATATTGAAATTAATTTATATCTTCTAAACGGTAATAGATAGGTATAGAGAAATAGTATATGAATTTGTTGACAAAGTGATAATGAATCATAATATGATATTATATACGAGGCTGAATCTGGGGTACAATTCAAACAATTTCAATTCGTTAATTTTGGTCATAGCGATAATGAATTTGCTGGTGCATTGTCTTGATGAAATAACACTCAAACGTTGAATTGAGTTCGAATAATACTTGCCGTTAATGATCTGACGACGTTTGACATTACAGGAAATGTCCACCTGTTCGCTAATGATACCACCATACTATGGCATAATGATAAGCAAGCTGATCTCTATTGATTCAGATATAATAAAGGTCAAAGAGTGGTGCGACTTGAACCTTTTATCCTTCAACATATTTAAAACCAAGATAGTGTCTAGATATAATGAAGACCAAAGAGTGGTGCGACTCGAACCTTTTATCCTTCAACATATTGAAAAACAAGATAGTGTCTAGATATAATAAAGGCCAAAGAGTGGTGCGACTCGAACCTTTTATCCTTCAACATTTCAAAAACCAAGATAGTGTCTAGATATATTAAAGGCCAAAGAGTGGTGCGACTCGAACCTTTTATCCTTCATCATATTGAAAACCAAGATAGTGTCCTTCAAATGTGCAGTTGGTGATATTTCTTTAAACCACCAGATAATTTAAAACAGTGTTTTTTCTAAATTTCTAGGACTATACATCAACAACGATCTCAAATTCAATGAATATGTCAAAAACTTTAATAAAAAATTGTCCTCTGGTTGTTATGCTGTGAAAATTGCTGCAAACGAACTAGGATACCCAACCGCAAAGACCTGCTCCTTGATAGAGTCACATTTTCGATACTGTATCCCATTCTGGGGAGTGTGTAGTGGTAATGTTCTTCAAAGTGGTTTTGTTTCACAAAAAAGAGCATTGAGATACCTCTGTAAACTAAAATTTCGCGATTCGTGTAGATTTCACTTCGATCAACACAACATACTCACGGTAGTGTTTATATTTATACAGTGTGTCTCATAAATGAACACAAACAAAATTTCATTACAGGGAATAGATACCCCACCCGTGAAAGTAACCATCTCAAACTACCATTACCATCTTCCACTCTCAGTTGCAAAATGTACAATCACCTTTCAAATAGTATTGAAGATATACCGTCTAACGGTATATCTTCAATACTAGTTTGGAATAATTTTATGTGAATAGAATAGAATGATAAGTAGATCAAAACTATACACTTTGATTTCATATACCTTCTATCATTACAGGGAATAGATACCCCACCCGTGAAAGTAACCATCTCAAACTACCATTACCATCTTCCACTCTCAGTTGCAAAATGTACAATCACCTTTCAAATAGTATTGAAGATATACCGTCTAACGGTATATCTTCAATACTAGTTTGGAATAATTTTATGTGAATAGAATAGAATGATAAGTAGATCAAAACTATACACTTTGATTTCATATACCTTCTATCATTACAGGGAATAGATACCCCACCCGTGAAAGTAACCATCTCAAACTACCATTACCATCTTCCACGCTCAGNAAAAGGGGGGTCTTGTAATAACTTGTTTGATAGGTATTCCAATTCTCTATGTAACACTTATTTTTGGAAATCTAATCAACCATTTTTGGGTGATTAGCAGTTTCATATAATTTTTTAAAATCCGCAAACAAACTATATCTAGCATAATTCGAAACGTTTATCAATGACCCCCTGACAATAATGAATCTGTTTACGATTTGTTTTCTACATTATGAAATGTTCTCTGTTCCTGTTGCAAGCACTTATTTTTCTCTGGAGAATTTTTGGAATGGATCGCGATTCTGTATCGTACACATCAGATGTCACGTCCTTAAAAACATCTAGACGCATCATATCAGGTGATCTAGTGGGCTCTTCGCATCATATCAGTTGATCTACTGGGCTCTTACAAGGAATCACGTTTGTCTGTCTACTGGTTCGAAAAATTCTTAAATCCGAATGTGTTTTCAACTAATATTAGGTTCAGCGACAATCATCCAAACAAGTGGATAAGAAATGTAGTCCTTCAAAATGACCCGCTGCATTACATGTTTGGTGAAATTTTAAGTTTATTTTACTCCAGAGCTCATGGTCAGAATTAGAGGTGCTCCTGAGGAAGTTACACCAGAAATATTCCGTAATGAATTTGTAAACAAACTTCATTATTGTCGAGAAGTGCTTGAACCACCGACCAACACGGAAGTCAATTCGAGTGAGTGAACAAAGCACCCACGCCGAACCGCTTGGCTACCGACCGGTAGGTCGGTAGCCGGTTATTCTTAAAATATCCTTTCTATTTGATGAGCGATGCAACTCTATTGCTTTTCTTATAAAAAAGTTCTAAAATTGATACCTTTTCACGTAAATCTTGTTTCGTTCAAAAGTTAGGATGAGGGACTATTTGCGTTTGCACTGTATACTATACTACAGGCTGCTTTTTGAACATGCGGCAAAAATTCAAGGGACTATTTCTTGGCTATTTTTAGGATATTTTGTCCTTTGATTATTTTTGATGGTGCGCTTTGTTTCGAAGATACAGAGCGAAAAAGAATTTCGACAATAACAATTTACTACCAAAACTTACATGTAATGTTTCTTAATCTACAAGAACTCAAATCTTCCACATCTTCCACTGGAGTAGTATGAATTATTGACTTCAGGTGGCCCCATAGAAAATAATCCAGGGGATTCAAGTCCCGAGCAGACTATAAATGAGGTCCATCTCGGCCGATCCAGCGATCTCCGTATGGTACTTTTGAAAACTCTCGAGCCAATATGCTAAAATGCGCTGGTCCACCATCGTCTCTAAACCACATTGTATTTCTTGTAACCAATAGTACATCCTCCAGAAACTGAGGTAGCTTTTGTTTCAAAAAGTTGCGGTAGGTATACCTCCCCGGTAAGTCTTCCTGGCAGAAATACCGTTCCAATTAGGGAGTCACATACAATTCCCACCCAACGAAAACTGATGTTGAAAGCGATCTTTAAGCACCTCATTTGGATTTTCTTCAGCCCAAACATGGTTATTGTGGACATTGTGGGATTTTAACCAATGTGTGCAAAATATATTGACATACTGCAATACGTGGAAAAAAATCTGCAGAAAAAGTGCCTGAATTCGTTGTATGTGGTATAGGTACAACAAATAGTCTCTAAGAACGTTCCAAATCTTCCCGTTTCTTACATTTGAAGTATTTGTAATTTATC